CCATAGCGAGGCCCTATGAGCCGAGTCCCCCGTATGGGAGGGTGGACTTAGAGGCATGTGGGAAGTCGGTTCTGAGGTCTCCAGCATGTCCCCTCCTTTGGGGTGACTCAAGGGAGGCCGCTGTGACAGCACAGAGGCATGTCTCATTTCACTTGTGGAGGAGGGGTCTGCTGAATCCTTTCATCCGGTCTCCTCGACGTCACCTGCTGGGCATCTGCTGAGGCCACGGGTTCTTGGCAGAAATGGTGTAGGAAAATGAGTTGCTTGATCTCTCCTCCCATAGCTCAGTTTCCTCATCTGTAAAATGGGTCGTTGTGGGGCCGGAGTGAGGCGATATGTGGACAGTGTTGTTTTCTGCACTGTCCTCTCTTTCTTCATCCTCCTCGCCTTAATCTCGGATGTCTCAACTCCTCAGACTGTCCTTCTGCTGACCAAACTCTTCAGTGGGGCTAAGTAATGCCCACCCTGTCCAGACGTTCCTCTCCTTTTCCCTAATGCAACCTTACTTGTCCTATTTCATATCCATTTGGAGCCCTCCCTATTCCCTCTTGGGATAAATCTGATTCAGCCAGTGAGTCCTTTGTTGGCATGACTTTATGTGTCCTTTTTCCAAGAAAGCATTTGTGTTTTAACGGGGACCTTCAATGCCATAACCCAGTGGAATAAAAGCCCCTCTGTCCTCCCACCTGATTGTGACCTTCCCATTGTCTGAGAATCGCGTTCTTTTTACATCCTTGCTTCTCCAAGTGTGGTCTGTGGACCAGCAGCATGGGCCGCACCCTGGAATTTGCTAGAATCTCAGTCAGTACTCCAGACCTGCTGCATCGGAATCATCGTAGCAACACCCCTAGGTGATTCATATGCGTGTGCAAGTCTGAGCAGCACTGCTAGAGAGGAGTAGCTAGCCAAAGCAAGTCCCCTTCACAAGAAGAAGAGTTTATGTCCAAGCTCCTTACAAGAGGGCACCCAGAGCAGCTGCTTCAGAGCCCCAGGGACGGGGCTCCCATCCCCGACACCAGGAATTGATGGCGTCTTCTGGCAGCCCAGCTGCCATGCTGGATCTCTGGAGCTTCTGGAAGAGTCTGGCTCCTGTGATTGGAATCAGAGGGCTAATTGGCCCCACATGGCTCCAAATCCTGCCAGTTGCGAGGGGAGTGACAAGACTCCCCAAGGAGCCAACCAAATGTAAAGAAAAAGGAGCCAAAGGCAAGGAGAGATGGAGAGCCGAAAGCTGATGCCTGGGAATCTAGCTGTGACATTTCTATCTTCCTGCCCAGAAGTGCCCGGGAGAGAGCATCAGCTCCGAAGCAATCCGTCTTCTTCTCAGTTCACTTGTCCCTTAGCCATGTCCTGTACTAGTATCAGGACGGCTGCGGAGAGCCAGGCCATCTGATAGCTGGATCAGGGACGGAGCTGCCTGGGGAGTGAGGGGACAGCGTCCACTGTGGGGCTGCCCCTTGCGGGCAAGGAGCTGATGGGGGGCGGGCCTGAGTCTGGAAGGCCAGCCCCCGTCCTAATTAACCTGTCTCTGATCCTGCACTCAGCCAGGACGTGGAGTGCTGCTGGCCTCGGGGCTGGCGCAGCACTGTGGTGAGGACTGAACAGCCAGAGGGTCCAGGACCCTGAGTGGCTGTAGGCAGTTGGGGGGGGGGCGCGCGCCAGGATGGAGGGCCCCATCCGAGAGAGATTTAGCTCCAGCTGGGCTGCTAATATGCTTAGCCTCCATGGGTCCCTACATCGTCACCTAGCTTGGAGGCTGGGATGGAGGAGGAGAAGTCACCAAGCCTCTTTGGCAGGCTAGTTAGAGACTGTGAGGAGATAATGGATGTGAAAGCACCTTTTCCCGGATGAGGTAATGGGTGTAAAAATGAAAAGAAGCACTTGGCTATAAAGTGTCATTATCATTAGGCAGAGAAGACAAGCTAGGCTTTTACCCAGGTGACTGACTAGAGGGGGCAAGCCTGGAGCGGGGTAGGGAACAACCTTCGTGGGCCTTGGGTAGGCAGGGGTCAGAACAAAGGCATTGCGTGCATCTGGAAACACAGAACAGGTCCCAGAAATGAAGCTGGGGGGGCAGGGAGGACCACAAGCTTCAGCTGCTTCATGATTTTGTTCCGGGTTGCCCTGTTGGAAGGGACCAGAAACCAAACATCTTTCAAAGTGAAATTGCCTTCCCCCCTCCCACCCCCAGGAGGGAAGGCACGTGACCCGTGGACAGCTGAGCTCCTGTCATCCATCACCCGCTTGCTTTCATTGTCACTCCCAAGTCTCCAGGCACTTAGCAAAAATTTCAGAGAGACTGAGCTACGGTCCCTGAAAGATGCAGACCCAGGAGGGAAGGGCCCACTTCCATTTGCATTGTAAAACGGCCTTCTGGTCTGTTAATGGAGGTGTTTCTTCCCTGACGGGAGATAACTTGGGAAGGCTCAGGCAGTGGGAGGCAAGGGCTGCTTGCTGATAGGCGGGGGGAGGGGAGGGGAGGGTCTAGTTGGGGACAGTTAGTCCAGCTCAGTTAGGGACAGCGCAGGGACGCATGTGCTTCAGGCCCAACCTGGAGACATGTCTGCAGCTCTAGGAGAAGTAGTTGGGTTCCCTGGGCGAAGATGGGGCTGCCCATGTCTAACACAAGTTAGACCTTAATTATGGACTTTCGATACTATTCTCAGTTACCACTCTAATTCTCCTGTTCCGTGTACACCTCTCTTTCCTCCCCCACGCTAGATTGGAAGCTGTTTGAGGGCAGAGATCTGTAACTTGTGTGTCCCTCGAAGCTCTGAGTAGGCAATCAATAAATACTTGTTGATGGATGACCACGAGTCAAAACAGGAAAGCAAAACACTTGTGTCACAGAAGGCTCTTAGCCTGTTGGTTCCTCTGGCTCCAGGAGCGTTTCTTTGCATCATTATTGGCGATGCCTTCGGCCCAGCGGAGGCTAAAGTGTGCCCAGCTTCAGAAAAAGAAAAAGGCAGCAAAATTGAGCCTGCAGTGGCCAGGGGACCCTGAGCTCAGGACAGCGTTCCAAGTACTGGAACATATGCCTGGGTGTTCCTCTCGAGTGTCCCTGCTCCCCACGCACAGCCCCACGGGCTCTCATCCTCCAGCCTGCACTGGCTGGGGCCCATGTCAGAAATGAGCTGGTGTCACCCCAAGAAGAGGCTCTTTCGGTGCCAATAGGGTGGGAGACAGGAAAGCAAGGGGCTCATTTCGGAAGCAGCGCCGGGAGTGAGGCAAGATGGCAGCTGCAGGAAAGACGTTCTCTGGCTCCCTTCGAGGCCAAGCTCCTGCCTGCCACCAGGCGCAGAAATGAGAGAGGTGCCAGCCTGGGGCCACCCTCATCAGGGCCCTGTCCTGGGAGGGTGCCTATCTTAGGACACTGGCCCGCCCCTGTCCAGCTTCTGAGTGACTCCCCATTGAAAAATGACCATTTGTCCTACCAGCGCGGGAGGGCAGGAGCCAGTTTCGGAATTAGCCTTCAGGGGGCCTGACCGCATCCTGGCCAGCCCCCTCTGCCTCCCTAAGGGGCGACAGACACCACCTGCCCCCCAAGCCGGCTTGGTTGGGTGCAGCCGGAGTTGATGTGACACATTAAGGCAGCCGTGGTCTGTCTTCCTTCCTGAGTCCTTCTATGAGAGAGACAAGCCCCAGACTATGAATTTCTCTTTTGTACAATTACTCTAAATCTCCCGCCACACACCCCCCGATAAATAGTCCTAAAGTCTAATTATCGAATTTGTGTCCTGATAAACAGCCTGATCTCTTGAAACCGTTTGCAACTGAGGAATGCGGTATCCTGAGCTAGCCAACAATCACTCTCCCGGTGTCAGAACCTCCCACCTCTTTTACGAACCTTATACAAGTTTGATTAATCACCTCCTGCCCCTCTGAATCTTGTTCCCAAGGGCCCTGCCTGGAACCTTAGTTTTCTGGAATACACACACTGAGGCCAGGGAACTCAACCCCATTTGTTAGATCAGAACTTGCGTGGGGCTTGAGCGGTGCCAAGTCCGGGAGCTAAGGCTCTGCGAGCCTCTTGGCTCTGGTGCCCTCTCTTCCACCTCCAACTGCCCCGCCCCGCCTGTTGGCCATTCATTGCCCTCTTTACCTCCTTCCCTGCCTCTGGCACCCAGTGCCCTCCCAAGCCCCACGGTCCCCGTGCCCTCACCCTGGCCCTAGCTGTAGAACCATTCTAAAGTCCTCATGTTAATTTTTCTAAGCTTCAACAACTCCCTCTGTGAGCATCGGGAGAGCTGTCTGCAGTCTCTCCCAGGTACTGGGGCGGCGAGGTCTCGCAGCCCATTGGGGTTCACGTCTGCCGGCAGCCACGAGACACAGCTCCCCTGCTTGCCCATAGGAGCCATTTTCCAGTTGTCCCATTACCTGAAGTAAGTTGGCATTACGTCCGATTGTGTACGGTAATGGTCCTCCGCATGAGCACATTTGTTTACATACGCCATCTCATCGTTTTTATATAGAACCTAAGGGAGATCAGAGTTTAAAATCGCACAAGGACTTCATGAAGGGCTGTTCTGAAGCGACTTCGCATTCCTTCCCTCACTTGCTTGCCTGTGTCCTGCTGCCTTCCTCGAGGTTTTGGTTTCCCCTAGGGAGTCGACAGCCAGTTCAGCGGTTAACCTTCAGAATAACATGCCTGCATTTAGGCTCCTTCTAGATTCCCAATATCTTGGAGGAAAGGGCTGACTCTGATGTCAAGTTCTGTGGCAACAGTTGTTTTTGTTTAGTTTTGTTTTGTTTTTTCCCGTTGGCTCTGGCCCTGTAGACAGTGGGCTTTTCCTTGCCAGACTCCTCTTTCTCCAAACTGAGCTATGAGGGCCGTTGTTGCCTCTGCTGGTTCTAGAGGACCTGGGAAGCCAAGCAGGGGAGCTCCCGCGTGCCATGGCCAGCACCCTCATCCGTGCCCCCTCCCAGCTGGTTCTGAGGCTTAGTCGCCTTTCCATCTTGTTTTGCTCCCATCTTCCCCTTCCCTCGGTCATGTGATGCAGGAAGAGAGCGCAAATGCTATGGAATGGGAGCAGCTGCCAACAGAGACGTGGCGACAAGTGACCATTCGCCGAGACCCTATATATGGCTTTGGCTTCGTGGCTGGCAGTGAGCGGCCCATGGTGGTGCGATCTGTGAGGCCAGGTAGGTGTTCCTCACAGTGTCCCCCCCTGGCCCCGGCTCCTTTTCCCCCAGCATCCACCCATCTTCCCAAAGAGCAGGGCTCCCCCGTTCACTGTGGTGGCCCCAAGGAATTCATGAAGAGCGGGGTAAAGACTCGCCAGCTAAGGACCGTGCGAGGGAGCTGGGCTTTCAGAGCGATCGACGCAAACCACTGAGGCTTCCGGGGGCCAAGACAGAGGCCGCAGTTGATGGTTTAGCAGAGTCTCGGTCTTAATGAAGGCTCCCTGTGCGTAGAACCTTCATAAAAGAGCCAGACTGCCTTGGATGACAAATGTCTATTCAATTCCATTCAACAAGTATTTATAGATTGCCTACTCTAAGCACAGCAAGATGGTAGGGAAGGACAAGACGCAGGCCCTGTCCCCAAGCACCTAACCATCAGGCTGTGGAGACTGGTACCCACTCACGAGAAAGGTCAGCCACTGACGGCTGCAATCAGGACACGGACCATAGGTGGGAGGGGGGGGGCGGGGAATGAAATCTCCAAATGCCACGGTGGCAGTAACGAGAGCTGCCATTGATTAAGTGCCTACTGTGTGCTTTCCTCATCTTGTTTATTCCTCCCAGCCAAGCCTGCAAGGTGAGTCGTCCTCCCCATTTAACCAGATGAGGAAACTGAGGCATAGAGGAAGAGAAATGACTTGTCCAGGGGCACTCAGGTAGGAGGCAGCAGAGCCAGGATTTGGACCTGGCTGGGTCTGTCTGATGCTGATGCGGGAGAAGCGGGGCTTGAATGGGACCAGGTGGGAGTGGATAAGTGAAAGCCCCCACCTGAACTGTGGAATCCTGCCCTCATGAATGAAATGGGCAATGGTCTAAGCGCCGTTTCGTTCCACATCTGCTAGGCATTGACAGAAAAGATGAGCAGAAAGAAGCTTTATTCCTGACTTGCTGGGCCCGAGGCTTTAGATGTTTACAACAGTTTCTCACTCAGTCAAGAGGAGCAGCCCGAGTACAAACTGGTCTAGCAGAAATTTGATGAATTTTGCAATCCTCAAAGGAAAAGAAAAAAAAGATTTTTGTAAGCTCCCTTTTCAACTAGAGGGCATAAAGAAAAAAACAATCCAGTACAGGAGTTCGTGGCTGACCTCAGGCTCCCGAGTCAGTCATGCAGTCTGGTGGAAGGTTCTTGAGTCCCTGATCAGAAATCAAATCTGCCCTGGGTAAGAGGAATTGGGAAAAACTTAGTAGCAGGCCACCCAGAGCCCCTGCTTTTGGCCTCAAGGGAGACAGGATTTACAGGGCTGAAGGGAGCCTAGACAAGGGGGTCAGCTTCAAGCCATGTGAAAATGAAGAGGCAGAGTTGGAGGGGTGGGGACAAAGGAGAGCCACAGGTGAGAGCCACACAAAAATCATGGGGTTGGCAGGCACAGCCCTATAAAGACGTAGGCTGATCCAGATCGCTGCTTCTGGCCCAGGAGGCTCTTAAGGGCAGAGGCTTTTTGGTTCTGTATTTGAGATAAGACAGAAGACAAGAGGCATCCTATGGAGGACCAATCATGGTAGGGCCAGCCAGCACAGCATTCCGGGAAAGTGGTAGTAGATTGACGCCCACCACTGCCGTCAAGAGTTCAGTTTCACGAAGACCGCTTCCATTAAAAGGAAGGAAGGAAGGGAGGGAGTGGGGAAGGGGTAGAATGGCCTCTCTACCAAGAGATTGGCATGTTGGCAGGAGGAGAGAGAAGGAATGAAATGAGTTGAAGGAATTGCCCCCTTGGAGGATAATAACTACCGTCTAGCGAATTCATACCGACATCAATCAACCGTCTAAAGTGCTGTACACTCATCATCTCCTGTATCCGCCCCGTGTTCTTATGAGGTGGAGGTACTGTGATTTTCCCATTTTCCAAAGGAGCAAAGAGAGACAAGGTCACACAACCAGTGAGTTGCAGATTTGGAATTGGAGTTCAGGTCTGGCTGGCTGCCAAGAGTGGGGCCTGCCCCTGAAGTCACTGTGCTATCAGGACACTTGGCCACCAATGCAGGCGGAGTGGTGAGTCTCGCTGGCCGAGCCACATAGGCCCCCTCAGCACACAGGCCCCACGCTCCAGAACCACCACCAGGCCACGCTCAGGTGACAGAGGTGTTCTGTATGTTCTTGCTTCTGATGTTGGCATAGCACACTTCTTTGTAGAAAGAGGGAACAGTTGGGATCCAGCCCTTGAAGGCAGGCGCAAACGGGAGTCAAGCCTGGTTTGAGAGTGGGACCTGTCAGTAAACATTTCTTTGGGGCTTGAGTTAGGCCTCATTCTCCCTGAATTCCACTCATTCTCCCTGAATCTCCGAAAAGCTTTTCTCCGACGTCTTGGCTAAACACCAGATTCAGCACACCCTGTGGTGCCCCTCGACCCCCATTCTTTACCCAAACCAGGAAGGTATGGCCCTCAGACAGCCCTGCTTTCTTAACCTCGACAGTGGAGTTGGGAAGGACAGGAAGCAAATTTCCAACTATCTGTGATTTGGGGTCTGTTCTTGTTCCCCTCACCTACTGAAGAGTGGCATCTCTCAGAGATGAGAGAAGATAAACCCTCTGGGTCTTTTAGTCCATCCCCCCGACTTCAGGCAAGTGACTGCCTAAATCATTCCTGACCAGCGAGTAGGAATGTTGCTCAGGTAAGAAGATCCCTTGTCGCTCCTCGCTTCAGCTATACCCCCTTCAGTAGCCTGGAAGTCATCCCTCGGGCCTCAGCAGATCCCTCCTGGCGAAAGGGAAACCCGTGTCCCTCTTTAGAACCCAGCCAGGAAAGTACATATTCACCTGGTCTGAGGGCCAGGCCTGGGCTTGGGACTTCTTGCTCCCACACCACTGGCAGCCACAGGAGGTCCGAGCTATCCTCTTTCTTCGATCTTCTGCCCTCTGTCTGGCACAGGCAGCCGTGGCCCAAACAACATCCCTACCACCAGCCCGCGCGGCCTGCACTCTTTCCTGCGGGCTCTACGGTCCCCACTTCAGCTCCCTCAGGCACTGGTGACTCCTGCCCAGACCTGCGCTTTCCCAGCAGTGGCCCCAAGCCCTCATGCCTCTCTCCTCTCCTCTGCAGGAGGCCCCTCTGAGGACAAGCTCCTGGCTGGTGACCAGATTGTGGCTATTAATGAGGAGGACGTGAGTGAAGCCCCCAGGGAGAGGTTCATAGACCTCATCAGGTAACAGGGGCCTCTTGGGCCTTGGCAGGAGCTGAGCACTGACCCCTCCCCTGCCCTACCGTGGCATAGGGCTACCATGGTCCTCCCTGGCCCTGAGAGGGAGGCCCTTCAGGCAGAACAGCCCTGGCCAGGGCTCCTGGCTACCCAGGACTTCAGAGGCCAGCCCTGCCAGGGCCCCAGGGTCCCTCACACTCTCTGGCTTAGCCTTCTCTAGTGATGTGAACAGAGAACAGCCTTCTTCAAGAGCTCACCTCACCTTCCTCCCCCTTTCTACTCCCCTCACCGAAGCCCCTTGGTCTTTGACTTACAGTGCAGGGGGACAGACCCAGTGAGCGATGAGAACCAAAGAAGCCATTAAAAGAACACTCTGGAAAAAAAAAAAAAAACGCTCTGAGATAAGCACAGTGTGAGCCAGGTCTTGTTTCCCACGTCTCCATACCCTACTCCACCAAAAAAAAAAAAAAAAACCTGAGGAGAAGAAAATCTGAATCCCTGGCTCATGGGTTGAGGAAGGGAACCTGCCATTGTGGATTCTGCTCGCTGTGTGTGTGTGACCTCTTAGTGCCCTCTACAGATGGGGGCAAGAGAGGGAAAGAAAGGAGTGTCAGGGGACTCTCACCATCTGTACACGGGAGTAATCATGGTGACTTTTCCCCTCCTCACCCCTACACACACACACACACACACACGCTATACACATATACACAGCCTCCTACCTCACACTCCTACCACACACACACACACACGCACACACACACCACACACACACCTCTTTGCATAGACGTGTTGATAAGGAATAAGAGGATAAAGGTGAAGGCTCTAAATTCCATGGGTTGTCTTCTGCTTTGGTGACCTTGGCTGTCTCCTCCCAAATGGACCTGTGTACTCTCTTGCTCTCTCTCTCTCTCTCTCTTTGCCTTGTGTGGTCTGCTCTATCTCTGCCTCCATCTCTTCCAGGCCCTCTCTTGGTTTAAAATGTTCTTCATCTCACTCGTCTTTCTCGTTCTCCCAAATCCCACCTGTCCCCAGCGCCCATCCCTCCTCTTCAAAGGCAGATTTAGCACACTTGGGATGGAACAGCACCCTCTCGCTAGCTCTGGAAGCATTTGGAATGCTCCCTCCCGAAGTCCAGGGCAGGTCTTCCTCGAGATGCTCCCCTCTCCAGCTCACATCTTGAAACGTGTCTGGTCCCTAATGACGTTTAGTTTGTCTCTCCTCCAAGTTCAGTGGTCCATTGCATCCCCCCCCCACCCAACTCCACCCTTGACCCTCCACCACCACACCAAAATGGGGTAAGTCTTTTCAACCCCATCGAGGGCGTGTTGGGGTTCTTTCAGCCTGACCCTCCAGAAGTGTTTGCTCTGCTTCTAGTGAATATCTTTGTACCCTAGAACAGGTAGCCCAGTTTTGTGAGGGAGTCCAGAGCTCCTCCAGGATCAAGACAGAGCTCACTCATTTGATAACCCTGGGGGCCAGCAGATTTTTATTATTTCATTCAATCAATGAATATTTGTTATCGAGTGTCTACTATGCACCAGGCACTCTTCAAGGCACCGAATATACAACAATGAATGACAGAAATCCCATTGGAGTTTATGTTCTCGTGGAAAGAGACACGCCTTAACAATAAACATGATAAATATGTAATTATATGGCATACTGGAAGTAGACGAAGGTTATCAAAGAATAGAAAGTGGATCAGGATAAACCGGGTCCTGGAGTGCTGGGCATAGGGGTGCTTTTAATAGCCTGGCCAGAGTTAGCCTCATTGAGAAGGTGGCAACTAAAGAAAGACTGAAAGGAGGGAGGGTGTCAGAGAGGGAAGAGCCAGTGCAAAGGCCCTGAGGCAGGAGTGTGTCTGTTATGTTTGGGGAGCAGGGGAGAAGCCAGGATGTGAAGTGGGGTAAAGAGGGGAAGACCTGTAGCCACTATAAGGACTTCGGCTTTGTTCTACATGAAATGGGGAAATGTGGCAGGGGCTGGGGCAGACGCGTCACATAATCTGACTTACACTATGCCCTCCCCTGTTCAAGAGACAGATTTTCCTGTGGGATTTTCCTGGAAGACAGCTCCTTCCTTCTCCCAGGAGCTCCCCATCCCTGGACTTGGCCTCACTGAATGTGGAAAATGTTCCAAGTCCTTGAGCAGGAGGCCTTGGCCTTCCTTGAGTATCTAGAACCAAGTGATCTCGACTCTGCTTCTTGAATACCCTTGTTCCCAGAAACGAATGAAAAGGTCCATCGAGGAGAAGGGAAGCTCCTTCCAGGCAAACTCTTTCCATTTCTCTCAGTTCTTTTAAAGGACTGTGTATTCCCGGGGGAGAATTTTCATACCTCATGGCCTGTTTGATCATTGGTATAATTCTTGTCGGAGGAGTTTCAAATTCTTCATCCCTTTGAATATTTGCTGTCTGGAGAGCCTTGGTTCCATCTGTTGCTCCCTAGCTCTCATTTTTTGGTCCTTCAATTAAAACAAATCTGCTGAGTATGAGTCATGATAACCAAATGACCTCCTTTGGGTTTTTCCTTTGAATTTCTCCTCTTGCTTAAATACCAAATTGCCAACTGAGTTCCATAATTCAGGCCTTTTGTTTTCCTTGAGAATTTTCTATTCTACAGATAAAATTGCTCCTAAGGTTTGGGGAGATCTACAGAGCGAATGTGAGAGGGAAATAGAACAGGAAGACTTGAAAAATGACAGCCCCAGAGAATATGGTAATGCCTTCTTCAGATGCCTGTGTGAACCTCTATGGATGGTTTCCGTCAGCCACCACAAATGATGGGAGGCGAGGCGGCCGGGCAGATAGTCAGAGTGCCCGCTGGCCTAATTCATATCCCTGAATGCAGCCTAGGGGAGAATTCTGGTGTTGCTTCTCGTGCGAGATGAATACCTAGTGCATGATACACTACTGTCCTGTTCCTTCTTCTCTCTGTAGGAGCGCTAAGGAATTCATCGTTCTTACAGTTCTGCACACTCATCAGGTGAGTGAGCCGCTGTGCCATCCACCCTTCCTCCTGACGGAGGTGACAGAGTCCCATATTGGAAAGTGACCGTGACGGGAGGGTGGGTGGACGGCGAGACTAGAATCCATGTGTTGTGAGCCAAAGCTTGAGGAGTGAATGTAAAGCATACCTTCTGAACATCTGAGTCTGCTTTCTACCTTCAAGGCTTGGGGATTTTTTGAAAGGCTCTCCAGTGCTATGTTCTGACCTGTGCCCTTCTGCTTTACCCCCACTGAGGCCGCGCGCTCACTGCCCCGGTCCCAGACAGATTTTCTACCTCTTTCTTTTTTTTTTTTTTTTTTGCTATGCCCCATCAAAATGTACCCGTCCAGGGTCCAACTCCCATAAAGTCCTTGCAGATGGTGGGTGCTAGCTAGTCTCATTCATTCATTCATAGCAGTATTTACTAGATGGCATGCAACGTATGAAGCCCTGCACCGCATGGGGGGCATTTAATATGACGGTGGTGGGAAAGTACGGTGGGACGAACCGTTTCATCTTAGTCCCGGTACAGTCACTAACTAGCTGTGTGACCTTGGGTAGGTCAGTTGCAAAAAGTTCCCCGTCTGTAAATTGAGGGGTTTAGACTAGAACAGTGTTTTCCAAACTTGACTGGTCAAAATAGTCAACAGGACTACTTATTAGAAGTAAAATTCCTGGGGCACCTGGTGGCTCAGTCGCTTAAGCATCTGCTTTCGGCTCAGGTCATGATCTCGGGGTGCTGGGATGGAGCCCCGTGCGGGGCTCCCTGCTCAGCCGGGCATCTCCTTCTCCCTCTCCCTCTACTGTTCCCCCTGCTCGTGCCCTCTCACTCTCTCAAATAAATAAATAAGATCTTTTAAAAAATAATAAAAATAAAATAAAAATCCCCAGGCCCCTCTCCTCAAGAGTTGGATTTAGAAGGCCCAGAGTCCATTACTAGGTTACTTTGTTATAGTAATCTTTTTTAAATGCACAGACCCAGGTGCAGAACTTTTATGTGCAAAACTCAGAGCCCCCCTTCCACCTCCAGCCTAGTTGTCCCTTCTCAGTGCCCCCAAGACTCCCCTGACTTCCAGCACTGATGTCCCACCTCCATGGCCACAGGAGAGGTCCCATCTGTTGGGGGTGGGGGGCATGAAATCAGCACAGCCTTCACAGACGAGGCTGCATCTGAGCTGGACCTCCAGAGAGGGGGCAGGATTTCCCAGGCAGAGACAGAGGGGAAGATTTCCCAGAGAGTTGGCATTTCCGGGCAAAGTCAGGGACAGCGTGCAGGTGCAGAGCGTGGGCTCATCAGTTGGAGATGGGGTTCAAATCAAGCTCTGGCACTAACTGCCTTTCTCCATGGCCCCCAGTGTGAAACACACACACACACACACACACATTTACACAGGCACATTCTCTCTCCCTCCCCTCCCTCTCCCCCTTCTCCCTCTCCGTCTCATACTTGCTCTCTGGCAAATAGGCCTTTCTCAATAGCAATTCTCTTGTATCTCTGGGCAGGCAGGTTCCACCCCTCAGGTGCAGTTGCCTGGTGGACAGTGGACTGTCATTCCCCACTCCCCAGTCTCCTCGTGAAATGGCTACCAGTTCTACCCCCCACCAGAAAAAAAACCATGCTTGTTGTGTTTTACCTCTCTGATCAGAGACCCATTGTGGGTTACTGTGTTAGTCAGGTCTCCTCAAATGTCATCCCCTCCTAGAAGCCTTCCTTGACTACCCTTTTTAAGACAGCATCGGCCTGTCACGGCCAATACTGCATCATTTTTTTTCCTCAAAGCGAAAATACTATATTTGTAAACTTTTTGTTTGGAGATCATTACAGACTCACAGGAAGTTGCAAAGCTAGTACACACATCCCTGTGTACCCTTTACCCGGTTTCTCCCAAGGGTTACGTCTCCCAGAACTAAAGTACCATTTCAAAACCAGGACATTGACAGCAATACAATGTGTGTATAGGGTTCAGTGTCAGTCTGTCACATGTGTGGTGTGGTCCACGTGGCCACCAGCACAGTCAAGACACTGGACAGTTCTATCACTACAAGGACCCCTCACCTTGCCCTTTTATAGCCACACCCCTCTCTCCCTCCACCCCAGTCCCCATCAGCCACTAGTCTATTCCCCCTTTCTGTAATTTCATCATTTCCAAAATATTATATACACAAAATAATATAGCACGTAATCTTTTGGGATTGGCTTTTTTTTTTTTTCTCACTCAGCATGGCGCCCTTGCGAGTCATTCAAGTTTTTGCCAGTATCAGTAGTCTGTTCCTTGTTAATTGCTGAGTAGTATTCCATGGTGCGGATGGACTGCAGGCTGTTTGGTGATTCACCTAAGCCTTATTAGAATGTCAGCTCCACGAAGATAGGAGCTGTGTTTCATTCATTGCTCTCTCCCCAGCACCTGGAAGAGCACTTGCCACAGACTAAGCATTCAATAAGGATGTGTTGAAGGAATAAAGAAAACCCAGCTTCCAGCCATCATGGCAACCCAAACTCATGTATCCAAACGTAGGTGCAGAATGAAGAGCCTAACGCTGCCCCCCACCTCTGTTCCAGCTCTCATCCCGGTGCCCCCAACACCCCACTGCCCTCCAGTTCTGATGTCCCCACTGTCCAATCCCACGGCCTCTTTGCTATGACCAGGCTGCTTTCCTTTTCTCCCTGGTCCAGATCTTAGTTCTTACAGCCCTGCCGGCTTCTGTCCTTGTACGGCTCCACCCTTCTTCTAAACAGGTCTGTGTCCTTTAAGACCTGGCTCGAGACTCTTCCAAACACCTCTGCCTGACTAACCTCAGTGAGAGTTTCTCATTTGGTTGCCTGTTCAGCAAACACCTATTGAATACCTACCATTCGAGGTGCTCTTCTAAGCTAGGAACATGGCGGTGCCCGGGACAAACATGGTTCCTATCCTCACAGAGCTTACACTCTAGTACTTGGCCTTACGCTTTCGAAACCCTTGGAGCATAGAAGTGAGCACACACACACAGGGGCGATAGTCGAAACAATTAACCTGTATAGTCGAAGCCATTCGCTCATAATGTAAGCCAGCCATGGGCACTGGAGCAGAGTCTTGGAGGCCTCCTGACTGTGCCAGGTGTTAACCCTTCAGATGACCACTGGTAAAGAGGTCCCATGGGAGAGGTCCCATGGCACCCAGGAAGCTTAGGGCAGTGGCTGCTTCCCAATCAGTGTGAAAGAAACCCTCACAACAGGTATAGCCATACCAGTGCATTCTAAGTGAATGTCAGCCTTGCATACATGCATAGTCGATCCTCACTATTCACAGATTCTGTGTGAGCAAGTTCACCTACTCCCTAAAGTGTATTTGCAACCCCCAAGTCGAGACCCGTGGTGCTTTCCTGGTCACTTGCGGACATAAGCGGAGCATGAAAAATTTGAGTCTCCTAATGCACATGTTGCCAGCTGAGCTCAAAGACGGCAGCGCTCTGCCATCTTGTTTCAGCTGTCACACGGAGGTGTCCAGAGATAGAGATGGCAGGGAGCAGTGCGGTATAATGCAAGAAGCTCGGGCTCTGGAACAGTTGGATGGGATTTGAATCCCAACTGTGGCACCTGTTAGTGGGGCGGCCTCAGGCAAGTCACTGAACACTTCAGAACTTCATTCTCTCCTAGTGAAATAAAATAGAATCTACCAGGATGAGTTGTTTTTAGAATTCAGAATTATGGGCGCCTGGGTGGCTCAGTTGGTTAAGCGACTGCCTTCGGCTCAGGTCATGATCCTGGAGTCCCTGGATCGAGTCCCACATCGGGCT